GAAAGAAAGCTGGTAATAACAGCTCTTAAAATATTGGCGTAAGGACAACAAAGCCAACGATGGTTGAGTCGAGTGTCTTGACTCAAAGAGTTGTGAGTTCAATACCTGTTACAGCTGAGACGAAAAAAAACTTGGAGGTTTGAGTTAAAGAGAGATAACCTATACAAAGACATCGGGAAGAGGCATGGTACGTGGAACTAGAACAATCCGTCCAGGTGGACGAAATAAAGTGTTCAGTTCGAAATCCCAATCATATGAAGAAGGCCGGAGCGCAAAACGGTCTAAGCGTCGTTAATGTGGAAATAGTGGCAAAGCCAAAGGAAATGGTTAAAAAAAGTTATATAGCGTAGTTGGAATGCTGCGCTTCTAAAATTCAGACAGAAATTGCAGTCTTTTAATCTCGCAGACCTGTTTTCACTGGTGCTGCCTTTTCAAAGAAAGTCGGTCGTTTATCTAATCCATCGGAGTAATCTTATCTACAGTCCTTTCCTAACTTCCCGATACAATCGAGTCGCAATCGATTGACGTTAGGTGTGTGGTGGCAACAACTGAAAATTTAAAAAAAAAATTATTATCGATCAAGGCAATTCTCAATGTTCATTACATTTCTTTGCCTTTTCATTGTTCTGGATTTATTTCCAACCCTGGTCACTCTTACTACAATCTGGACAGGGATTAAACTAAGAGAGAGACTATAGCACAGACAAGTTCCATGACATTTGCCATTTCTTAAGCCATCTTTAAGCTGTGCCATTTGTATTCACACGAAAGCCAGACTCCTATCACAACCAGGAAATATTAGATTTTTCCGGAAGTGTTGTCGTCTTTTTGTACCAAAAGCAATTTTTTTTTTACCCATAACACCGCTTTTTAAAAATTATCACCATTCTTTTTATTGTTTTAAAAAGCGATGATTAGAATTGTAATAAAACCTTAACATATGAATTTGATTTATGCATATTCTTTGTTCTTGAGAATTTACAACAATTTATTTATTAGATTCTTTATTTACCCCATCTATTTATTATATTACTAGCAGTAGAGCCCGGCGTTGCCCGGGGATGTAACAGTAAGAGATAGATCAAGTATCAACCATCATAAAGACTGAAAAATAAAATTGACAAGGATTATTGTTTAATGTTGATGGACACGCATGTCTTAATTAGTTTTTTTTTTTACAAATTGGTCAAACGCAAACAAAAACATTGTTTTCAATCGTTATGAGTCTATCGATTGAATAGAATTTTATTATGAACAATTGTCCTGTAAAAGGAATTTTTAAAGCATTCTGAATGTAAAAATAAAGAAAAAAGTGTGCAAGACAATATGAAACACTAGCTGCCAAAAAAAAGTGAAGTTTTGTTGAAATCGGTTGAAAAATGTAGGAAATCCGACACCATATATAAATGAACACACACACACACACACACACACACACACACACACACACACACACACACACACACACACAACCTGGGTTTTATAATAAGTATAACTCGATATGAGTTGTCCCCCTTTCATTCTAGCGACAGAATCACGTTTTATCGTGTTTTCAAATTGATTTCGTGCAAAAACAATTGTTTTTTTTCTCCAATTTTTGATGCTGTCAGAACCACCGCAAGGTAATTTTACGCTGTCCTGTGAAGTTTTATTGAAATTGGTTGAAAAATGTAGGAAATCCGATCCAATATATAAACGTACAGACACACACACACACACACACACACACACACACACACAATCTCCATTTTATAATAAGTAAGATTTATTGGAATATTTGGCAAAACATCGACTAAATTCCAGTTGATTCAAACTTTATAAAATGGTAAATAATAAGAAATTCCTACCTTTTTTTATGTTTTGTTTTGTTTTACAGCATATCAACCTCAACGATTTAATGCCGACAACATTTTTTTCCTGGTAATATTATTCTTTTGTCAAAAATGCATTTCTGTTAATATTTTTTTCTAAAAAATGTATAGCTGGTAATATTATTTTTTTTTAAAAAAACGGATAGTTGGCAACTTATTTCTACAAAAACGTATTATCAGAGGCCTTGCTGTTGGACATAGTGCATCGTCCCACTAAGGACGCGGATGTAGTTTATCGTCTTACCCAGGACGCGGATGTAGTTTATCGTCATACCCCGGACGCGGATGTCGTTTATTGTCTTACCCAGGAGGCGGATGTAGTTTATTGTCTTACCCTGGACGCGGATGTAGTTTATTGTCTTACCCTGGACGCGGATGTAGTTTATCGTCATACCCAGTTCGCCTTATAGTTGGTTCACATATTTTAATGATTTAGTAAATGTTTATAAATAAAAATGTTTTCACATTTATTTCTTTATAAATTTAATCAGTTATGTGCCACGCCTAGGTGATCATATATCTTTCAATAGATAAATGACGAGGCAGATTTTTTCCGCAGTAGGTTGCCATTTCTTTCAGTTGCCATCCAAGGCTATAGAACCTGGTTTGTTCCGCTATTTAGCCATAGCTGGGGGGAGAAGAAGTGAATTCATACCTTTCCCAAGAGTATTAACACGTAAGTGAATATAATGGATTTTACTGGAATTCGGACTCGGCTCTCCAATTCCTCAATCCGAGCCGCTCTTCATTACTCTATCGTGCCTCTTTTTAAATTAGTTGAACTTTATAAAATGGTAAATAATAAGGATTTCCTTAGTTGGTTCACATATTTTAATAATTTAGTAAATGTTTATAAATTTATGAATAAAAGGTTTTCATATTTATTTCTTTATAAACTGTCATATGATAAAATTTAAAATGATAAATTGTTACATTAGCTCTAATTCTAATAGTTTTTAGAATGTTGTAAATATAAAATCATCCTCTTAAAAATCAATATAATAAATAAATAGTGTTTAAAACGTATAAATTTTCGTAATGTTTAGGTTTTATTAAAATTCTAAATGTCGCTCTTTAAAACAATAAACATAAAAATAAACATTGCCAAAGTCTTAAAAATTGTCTTTAAAATAAAAACGGTTTCATAGGAAAAACCGCCCTCTTCAGACCGTTTTTTTTTACGAGCACGGAGATCCATGTTTGCCTATTTTTTTTATCCCCTTCTTTTCTAAATTCTAGAATAAAAACAAAATGAGAAAAATCAATTTCTCAAGGAATGTACCTCTAAATTAGTCCCCGTTTTCTCCAAGTTCCACAATTCATGATTTGCTGCTGCTATCTTTCCGGATTGTTGGAAAACTACTTCTGGAGTTCCGGATTGGGAACCATCTGTCTCTTCGAACTATCGACCTATTATTCAAAATTGGCAACCGATTTAAAAAAAAAAGGCCGACAGTCTGTTACGAATTGGGGCAAAAAGTGATTTGATAATTTTAACGCCTCTAAAACGAAAAATTGTAACTTTATACCTTGTGTTGTTCTTGGGTATTTTATTGGGTGAATATTTAGTAAAAGAACAGTCACCTTAAATGAATTGGAAATTTATAACTAGTTTATGTAACCAGTGATAAGATGGGTAGAGAAAACAGTTTCAATTTAAATGGCTTGTTAATTTTAACGGTTCTAAAACGAATTAATCTCTATTAATCATCTTAAAGAACCATTTTTACCATCCTTCAGCATAGGCGATGCTAAACCCCATGAGGGTGCCTTCTTGGTTTCACGTTTTCCACTGATATTAAATAGTATGGTTAGATTGAATCAGTGGTTAAGTTTGCTGTTAGGAACGTCCATTAACTGAATTGTGTTAGATGATTTTTCTCGCGAGGATCAATCTTGCTCATTTATAAGCATACTATTTGTTCGTTTGCGAATATTACTGTTACATCTGAAATGTGGCTTTTGAATTTTGAAATTTTGTCAAGAATCGCAATTCAGATTATGTTTCGCGGTTCTTAAAATCAAAAGTAGAATCGACAACGTCATCTGTCTTGCCTGGCATCTCTGATTTCCCATTGCTGTAATGGAATTTATCTTTGAGTCTTCTGTAAACATTTTCATATTAAATATTATGACGATTTTTCCTCGTTGGTACCTTGACTTTTGACAAATTTAAATGCAGTATTAACCGCTAGGTCTATTAGTTTCACTATTAAAATTGCTAGTTGTAACCGTAAGTTTTATACAAATCGTTTCTTCTCTATAAATGAAATGTTAATCGTTATCTTCTGTTTCAATGAAATCGGTTGCTTTATTGCTCTCTCTGTTTATTTCACTCTTTCTTGCATGTGAAATGATTAAGAAAATATGAACACAATCATTGGGGTGAGCACTGAAAACGCCCACCATTAAACTAATTCGTTTATTCCGTGTTTAAAGATTCTTGGATTTCAGAATAAATGCCAAATATTGACGTTAATTTCTCAAGAAGGAAAACCTTTTCTATTTGAATTGAAAAATGGCGGCCATGAAATTAATTCTTCTATTCCTTGAGAAATTGGTTTAACTTTACTCCGATATAAATTTAAATTCATTTCTCAAAAAGAGAATCATTGTTATTAGCACTGGAAAAAGCCCGACATGGCAATAACATTTTATTCTATATTGAAATATTATCCAATTCTCGAATAAATGCCATTAAAATTAAATTCACTTAAGTATATATCAATTGCCATTAAGGTTAAATTCAATTAAAATATATCAATTGTCAGTAAAGTTAAATTAAATTAATATATATATATATATATATATATATATATATATATATATATATATATATATATATAAATATAAATTCTATTAAAGGTAAATCCAATTAAAATATATAAAATTCCATTAAAATGAAATTCAATTAAAATATAAATACCATTAAAGTTGAATCCAATTAAAACATATATAAGTACCATTAAAATTAAATTCAGTTAAGATATATGTAAATGGAATTAAAGTTAAATTTAATTAAAACTAAATAAAACGCCATTAAAGTCAAATTCAATTAAAATATATCAAATTATCGGATAGCTATAAGTTGGAATCAACTCTCTATACTTATGACTTACAGCCACATGACGCTTAAACACCGGTCACCTTACGATCACCGAATTTAAGCAATGTCGAGCCTGGTCAGTACCGAGATCAGTGACCGCTTGAGAATAGCAGGAACTGTAAACTTTTATGTGTTGGTGGTGTCATGGATAACGGCTCGGAATTGTTAATCGGAGATCCGATTTCTAATTTTACTCTAACCCTTGAAAAAGGTATGAATCCACTTCTTCTCCCCCAGTTATGGGTTAAATAGTAGGACTTATATCAATAAAATCATTATTATCTAAAACAAAAATGCGTACAAAATTAAATAACCCATAGAGATGTTGATATGCCGCTAAACAAGAACGGCCATTTCTCTCTATGTTATAATCTTGGTTCAGGCGATGACGCCATGTTTTCTAATGAGTGATTGGCTATAGTAAATAAATATTATCGGGGTCAATGACATAATCTTCACGATAGTATATAACTGTACGCCTACTTCGTACAAAATATGAAACAAGGTCAAGTTTTTAGTGGGACTCATGCGTACCTGGTAAATTGCTTAAACTTCCTCGGTACTCAGGACTCAGAGGTCACATAATGACCCTGGCTCATTCCTAAGGAGAGGTAATGTCTGTGGATCCGGTCTCGAGGGTCGAGCTAATATTGATTATCAAGGCACAGTCTCTTTGACCAGAAGACGAATAGGACAAAAGCATGACTAAATATGACATCAATTCGACCATCGCAGTTTTGAAATTAGCTTTTTTTGAGCGGAAAACAAGATGTGTCCTCCAGTGAGAAGTAGGCATTGTAGCTTCAGTTAACAATACAACAATAAATTATGTCAACATCTAAATTATATATCCAATGTCGTACCAACATTCGATGAAATAAAGTACGTTTTTTTCAAAAAGAAAATCTTTGCGATTAGCACTGTGAAAATCTTGTGATGAAAACAATTCTTTTATTCCTTGTTCAAAGATATTTAGATTCTAGAAAAGTTAAATTTATTATAGAGTTCTCCAATAAGTAATTCGACCAGAAATAATTAATTTTTTTGAATTTTATTTTATATCACTATAGACTAATCCAAACATGTTTTTGTAATTTGAGTAATCGAGAGTAATATATATAAAAAAAGAACTCCAGCTTAAGAATATAAAATTAGTGTTTTTTTTTACATTTTCAGAAATCGGGTCGTATGAGTATATTTGTTTTGGCTTCCGTAGGTGAGATCAATTTACAATGAATTAACATAGCAAACTGATATTACTATTAACTATTTATAAAAAAAAATTCTTACATTTATGATATGGAGATCTTAATTTATAGTGATATGAAAAACAAAATGACAAAAATGACGCAGTCGACTGATGCTTACTTCTTGATGGTGTATTATTCCTGAATGGCAGCTAGAACGATACTCTCATCTCTTCATAGCTACTTCTTCAAAGTTCTTGAATGAAATGTTGACGCAAGAAAGGTTGCTTTTCAGTTTATCTTTATAACTGAGCCAAAGTCTAACAACATTTCTGTGACCACTATAAAGAGTAACGAGGTTCTGGCGAATATATATATATATATATATATATATATATATATATATATATATATGTGTGTGTGTGTGTGTGTAGTAATCCGTTGATATAATCCAGGCGAGTCTTATTAACACAACATAGAATTTGAAATATGTTAAAACTGACTCACAAAAGAGAGCTCAATGATTATTTTCATTAAACAGACCAAATTTTCTTTACAACAGGAATTAAGATACCTTTAGTGAATGACCATTTTCACCTACTTATTTTAATTTAAAAAATTCGCGAAATTTTTCAAACTGTTTATGGCATCAGTTTGTAGTGGGATACTAAGTATATATATATATATATATATATATATATATATATATATATATATGTGTGTGTATATATATATAAGTATATTATAAATTAACTGACTTAAAAAGATGGTTTCATCGCCACAAGGAATTACCATGTTTCAAAAACAGAAACAAAATCCTCAAATTCAATTATATTAAATTTAAAGCATTAGTTGTGTTTCATCTACAAGGGAATTTTTTCACCTTCCAAAATACGATTGAAGATGAAACAGAACTAATGCTTTTAATTTAATATAATTAAATTTGAAGTTTTTAGCTTCGTTTTTGAAACCTGTTAATTCCTCTGTAGCGAAGGAACCCTATTTTAAATCAGTTAATTTATGATATTTATGCTCTGTAAATTTACATTAACCAATCTTTTTAAAACTAAAACAATATCAATATAAACACCAGATTACATATACTGTTCTTCCTTTTATTACCATATATATATATATATATATATATATATATATATATATATATATATATATATATATATATATATACATATATCTATATAAGTATATATATGTTTATATATATGTATATATATAAGAATGTATATATATATATAAGTATATATATATTTTATATATATAAGTATAAGTATATATATATATATATATATATAATTATATATATATATAAAGTATATATATCTTATATATATATCTAGTATGTATATATATATAATATATATATAAGTATATATATCTATATAAGTATATATATGTTATATATATATGATATATATATTAAGATATTTAAGATAAATTAAGATATTTTCGCAAGGATTTTCAAACCGGTTATGTTAACAATAAAAATAAAGTGAAAATAAAGCGAATTTCATTTTAATTTTCTTGCTAACTTGACCAGTTTGAAAATCCTTGCAAATTATCTTAATTTACAGGGTGATATGATCATAATCGATATGTATTCTTAATTCCTACTCTCTGCTCTGTTTAAATAAAACACCGAGCTCTCTATGTGAATCAGTTTTAATATCTAATATTTAATGGAATATTGCTGTCATATATGCTCCGGTTTCCCCGCTGTACGTCTCAATGTCCTTGACAAAATCCAGAGAGGAATATGCAAGATGATAGGTCCTGATATGGCATCTAGTCTACAATCGCTATCTCACAGGCGTGCTATGGCCTCCCTGTGTCTCTTCTACTAATATTTTTGCGGCAGCTGTCCTGACGAGCTACTTTCGTTGGTTTGTGAACGTCATGAATTTAAGCGAGGTACCAGGCTGGCATCTCGGTCTCACCCTTTCAATGTCAAAACGGTTAAATGTAACCGTTTCTTCTACTCAAACAGCTTCTTCTTTCGCACTTCCCGTCTGTGAAACTCCCTTCCTCTTACTTGCTTTCCCGATGATTATAATCTTCAAATATTCAAGTGTAATGTCAATCGACATCTGACACCCTGAGCTTGTCCCCTGTCCTTCTCTGTGTCATTTCCTCAAACACATCTCTTTACTCTTGCTCTCAGTCCTCTGTAACCTCTTGCGTGCTAGTTACAGTCTCGCCCTGCTTGGGGTGAACTGCCTTAAAAAAAAGAAATATGATTCACCTGGATTATATACCAACGGATCATCACACACACACACACACACACACACACACACACACACACACACACACACACACACACACACACACACACAGAGTGTCTAACTGTGGATGACAATATATATGCTCCTGAAAAATTTATTTCGGATGAGCTCTCTGTGGAGGAAGTGTGGGTTTGTAAACAGTGACTATTGCAGCTAATAATGCAAGACTCTTCGGTAAATCGAATCGCGTTCTCTCAGTCACTATGTGTTTATCTAAAAATAAATATGCTTAAATGCACCTTCATCCCTGGTGTGCACCAACGGCTTAGTGATAGAATCCCCGACTGACCCCGATTCAGTCGGGTTTCGATCCTAGCTAGAGGCAACCGGATGTCTAGCCACACTGATGGACTGTGATACAGCGAAACAGTCTGTCTGTGGATGACAATATATATATATATATATAATATCGTAGTAGTAAAACGCGGTCCGATTTCTACTCGTCTCTACATATACTTTTCTTGTCTATCCCAACATGACAAGATCATAATATTAAAACCTGGTCCAAGTGGTTAGTTCAGCTAGTTTATATATGTATAGTTTTCATCTCTAACCTTATACAGAATGTCCATATAAGTAAGGTACGTGTTATCTCTCTTTTTATATCTTTCTATTCTTTGTTGACAGCGTTCTCAGCATTGCGCAGTGTTACGCCTATCCGATGCGCAAAGTTTTTTTCTAGAAATACATCTTCATGTGTGAAAACACAACCATTGCATATGGCAGGCCGAAAATATCTTAGGTGAAAGAATAATGTTTGTTTTTTTTCCCCCTCGAAATGGACAAACATCTTTAATTCTTGGTGTCCGATTGGACTGCAACGTTTAACTATCTATTTCAGGCAAACTTTCCGCTGTAGCTGGTTGACATAAAAACAAATGCTAATGAAAAATGTATTTTTATAAATGGACATTAATATATATCGGTCTAAAAACCTGGGCTTATTGATTGCTTATTCTACTATTCACCGCCTCCCGTCATGATGTTGGCAATTATGGCTCTCCACAACTTCCTGTCGCTTGCAGCTCTTAACAGATATTGTATTTTGGGTCAGTCGGTTAAGTGCTACACAGTGACTATTACAGCTAATAATGCAAGACTCTTCGTTAAATCAAATTGAGTTCTCTCAGTCACTATGTGTTTATCTAAAAATAAATATGCTTAAATGCACCTTCATCCCTGGTGTGCACCAACGGCTTAGTGATAGAATCCCCAACTGACCCCGATTCAGTCGATTTACGTCGGCGATCATGTATCTTTTTGCAGTAGGTTGTTATTTCTTTCTGTGCTAGACTGGTTGACAAACAAGGCTAAAGAACACATTGCTATTTAATCCATAGCTGGGGGAGAAGAGATGTTCCACACGTTTCCCAAGGGTATTTCTACTTAAGTCTTTTGGGTACCCCCCCCCCAAATCCTGCTTCACGATCCGTTTATTAAAGCTCGTCAGGCAGGTTAAGCATTGTCATTTTCCGTCCCCTTTTCCTTCAATCTGTCCTGTGAGTATTAAATTTTCCGAACCCTCTGACCTCCTTATGTGCCCGAGAAATTTCAACTGTCTCTTTCTGATGATAACCATAAGTGACCTTTTTGTTCTCATTGTTTATAGAACTTCATCGTTGCTTACATGTT